CGGCTTGGCTTGGTCTATGACCGACACAAGAGGGGTGCGAGGCCCCACTGCTTGGTTTGCCCTGTGCGAGAGCCAGCCTCCTGTCTGCAGCTCCAGAGCTGCAGACTAGGGATGTGCATGGGCAAAAAATTCAGTCCGGTTCGGAAATTCGGGTAAATAAAAAAATTTGTCTGCTTCGGCAATTCGGACCAATGGCATTCAGTTCGGTTCGGCACTTCCGAACTACCGAACTTGGGCAATTCCGAACTTCCAAAGCATCCAAATGTCAGAATTGCACGAAACAAATTGCACATGTCTAATAATTGGTTGTGGTGGCAGTCCGGGCACTGGGAGCCCTATAGATGTGTAAGTGGTTGTGGTGGCAATCCTGGCTCAGGGAGCCCTACAGATGTGTAAGTGGTTGTGGTGGCAGTCCTGGCACTGGGAGGCAGGAGCCCTATAGATGTGTAAGTGGTTGTGGTGGCAGTACGGGCACTGGGAGGCGGAAGCACTATAGATGTGTAAGTGGTTGTGGTGGCAGTAAGGGCACTGGGAAGCAGGAGCCCTATAGATGTGTAAGTGGTTGTGGTGGCAATCCTGGCACTGGGAGCTCTACAGATGTGTAAGTGGTTGTGGTGGCAGTCCTGGCACTGGGAGGCAGGAGCCCTATAGATGTGTAAGTGGTTGTGGTGACAATCCTGGCACTGGGGGCTCCGACTCGCTGTAGGTGTGCATCGATGGTCTTCATCTTTCCCATCTCCCGTACATGTTGCACTCTCCTGAGCAACTGGGTAACTGAGCGGTGATGGAAAGTGAGAGCACTGTGCTGTATGGGAATGGATGTAACAGGGAAAGAGCCAGGGAGAGTGATAGCGCTCCTTTAGGGGGTGTAACATTTTGAGCCTTGCACTAGTTGGTAGCATGACCGGAGCAGCTTCCGCCACATCAGGTTCGCAGTAGGTCATGCTATGCATGATTTGTACATTCCCAGTGAATCTTTGATTCCAAACACTATATTTTTAACAGGCAGGCTTTAAGCAGGCTCACTTTGGGCACGTAGAATCTATCCCCATAGGTTTTTCCAACACTCCAGAAGAACCTTAGAGCAGTTACAACATATTCTGATTAATCAGACTAGTCATAGGACTTAAATAGAGCACAATGTTTATGTAATGAGGGTCAGACAATGACAAAGGAGAGTGGACCATATGGGAGACTTAGGGTAGAGGTATAGGAAACAGTCTTAATTGGTCTGAAAGACTATACCTAATACTGTCGTGCCTTAACTACAGCATTGGTACAGCATACTCGAAAGATACAAATTTCAGTTGGAACAGTCTTTTTATTTGGAACAAGAAAGTGGAGACAACGTTTCGGCTCCTCTCTGAGCCTTTATCAAGTCTCAAGCCGAGTTATTATTTTTTTCCATTTGATGATTCCAGAGATTGGCCCTCGCTTTCTGGAGCACCCTGCAGGAAGTATTCACAATTCTTTTGTGTGTACATTTGTAGCGGAGCCCTAGCAGGAGTACACAAGAGTACAATCAGGAACAAGAAAACACCAAAGAAATATCCCACCTCCTCCCCAGCAACTGGGACGACACACAGTTCTGGGAGTAAAACTGGTTTTATTCCTGCCACACACGTCTTTTATAGATTGCCCCTAGCATGTGGTTTTTTCTCAGTCACAATTACAGGGCTTTTCTTCCCAGGATCCCCTGTGCCTGAGAGATAATTGCGTGAGAAAAAACTATAACTTAATTATCTCTCAGGTACAGAAAAATCTACAATATTTTAAAACACCCCAAAAATATATTTTAATAACTTCAGAACCCCACAAAAGTCACATTACCGATTAGCTTTCGGGAAGTTGCATGGGCAGTTGTACCAGTTTCCCGGGTATTCACGGGGTCGAGTATCCGAAAATAGTTCCACGCCGTTGACTACTATGTACCGCTGCCATCGTTTGGGGGGCAAAATGGTCGCCAGCTGTTTGAACATGTGCGTTCGGTTATACGAACGGCTACCACAGGGAGAGCACTTGAACTAAAAACAATTTGTGGTTAACAGCCAGGGTGGTCGGTGATCATGAAGTGCGAACAAGGGGCCACAGAGCGAGGGGCTTCGGTAAACAAATGGGGGGGGATACGGACAGCTGAACAAAGGGAATAAAAGTATGTTTGGGTTCTCCATTCCGCCACACATTATACTCTTGTTTTCTTGCAAACCAATAACAACAATGTCACCTTGACAAATTATTTTTTTATGATCATCGGTATTAAATTGGCATTACATTGACAAAAGTAACACATGTACAACTTGTGTGGGTATGAAATTTATAACCAAAGATTAGAATACATAAATAAAATGTAAAATAAAAACATAAACAAGAAGATTTCCCCCCTTTTTTTTTTTTTTAAATTATATTCTTTATTATTTGCGGTGCGTACGTTTACAGCAGATGATTGTGAGGTACCCCAAAGGCAATCCTCCAATGCAAGTTAGACATTTGAACATAGAGGTACATGAAAGAACTAGCACCAATTTTTAAAATGATAGTTTAAGCAATAAACAATAGAGGGTCTTACAGCTTATTCTGTCTCGTAGCTTAACATCACCTCGCTGGTACACAAAGTCTGCTAATTTTGAGCATCCTAGAATAAAAACGAGCTGGATAATACAGGCTAGATCTAGATTCTATACAAAGGTGGATTACATATAATTAGTTTAAGCTCTTTGCTAAAGTGTGTGATTAAACTAGCTGAGTACATGCAATTAATATCTGCGTTGTCATAGGTTAACCGATTAAATAATACAAGGGAGTAATGTAATCAGTCACATGCAAAATAAGGCAAAACATTAGACAGGTCTGATCAGTAACGTAAGGATACATAGCGAGAATTACCAAGTACTGTCCTGCGACTAGCGTAGCTTAAAAGAAATAATAAAGATTGCCCTGCACAATGCAAACTCGCTGCTCATGGTAAATAATGTAGGCGCTTTAAACAAATGCGTTCTCGATTTTAATCTAATAACAGTAATGATAATAAGGAAGTCATTAATGCCTCTGCCTCAATGCAAGACAAACAGTAAACATGCTTAAGTGTACATTTGGCATATACGGTTAGATATAGTGCTAGCTGATGTAGTATGTCAAAAGCGGTAAGATGCATTTGCATACAAGCATTGGGTAAGCATTGCACAGTAAAAGACATATAGAGAGTTCCAACTTTGTGCGTCTAGGCTCGGGCCTTGAAGGGTATAACGGGTCAGTCTCTGGAGGGTCAGCCGACACCTAGTCTGGGAGTAGCGGGTACGTGCCTGTGGGTTCCGTTGGCGAGTCTCCCCAGCTGCTCCTCAGTGTCCTGCGTGTGTTAGTGTGCCTCCCAGTGCAGTCCAGATATGGTACTCCCCTTGCCCTGGGACCTTGTTGGAGCCATGATCACTTTCTCACTGACTTGCCACCATCTTGGGGCCGGGTCTTTCCCCTGTGCGGGGCTGCGTAAGGCTGTGTTTAGTCGCTTGTGTATTCGTCTTATTCTTCGCAGGCGTGAGTGATGTTTAGGGGCTGCACCCTTTGTGGCTCGCTTCCCAGGTGGGCTAGCAGTGTTGTTGTAGGTAGGTACCCTGGTGGCTGTGCCCAGTGGTGGCCTCTTTGGCTGCATCGCGGTTTTCCTCCGTTTTTGGACTGGAGCTTTAGCTGGTTGTCTGGCTGTTAGTAGTTTGACCCGGGAGTTAACCGGTGGCTGTCGCCTGTTCTCCAGGTGTTCCCAGAATTGCTGGCAGAGGTCGTCGAATTTCCTCTGGAAGGCTTCCGCCCAGGCTCTGGCGGATAGTTGATCATCGCGTTTCGTGAGGCCGTCGGCCATCTTGGGCGGGCCTCGTGTCTCCCAGCTTTCGGGTACACGCTCTGTGCTCCGTCGGTGGTGAGTGCGCTCTCCACTGTGACAGACCGGGATGACCCCCACCGGTCCATAGGGGGGGGAACGAGGGCCCAGACGCAGGCGCTCGGTTCGTCGCAGCAGCGGGATCGGGTGAGCGGCCGTCTCTCCCGCGTCCGCCAGGCTTGTAGGCCCCATATGTTCGTTGGGTGAGTTTTGCTTAGATTGGTGCATGAGTGGTATCGTCTTATGCAGGGTGATGTACCCTCTCGTATGGTCACCCTCTTCTTCAATTTAGCGACGTTTGGGCATAGAAAATCACTAGTAACCTCTGGGTATAGCAGGAGCTGTGAAGGGTTGCTTCTTCCCAGCTCTGCAGTCAGGCCCCGCCCCCAAGATTTCCCTTTTTACTCTTTGTTTCTGGGCATGTTATATATGTATATGTGACTCCAACTCGTTTCTTTGATTGCTATTCCCTTTATTCAGCCTTTTACTTATATCTGTCTCCCCTCCTCTGTTCCTTCACTATTTTCCCCCTTTACGAATGCATCCCATGCATCCATATCTAGGCTGGTCGTCTTATTGGGCAAATGTGAGTAGCTGCCATGGTCTTGCAAGTTACATTCATGGAAACTTGCCCAATAATATCTTCGGTGGTTTGGATATTCCTGGGCTTCCATAGTCGTGGTAACAAAGTGTTGGCTGCTATGATTATATGAACAAAAGCTTTCTAGAAACCTTAGTAACGTTTTTCGGCAGGATAAATAATAAGCAAATTTCCAGTTTGGGCTCAAAGAAAATCTTGACGAGGGAGGACAGTAGGCCCGATATTGATTTCCAAAACGTTATAACCAAGGAGCATGTTCACCACATGTGGAACATTGTTCCCACCTCCACACCATATCTCCAGCATGTGTTCAAGCTTCCTTGTACATGTTTGCCAATTTAGCCAGTACTTTGTACCATCTATAAAAGATCTTTTGTTTCAATAATAAGTAGGATATACACAGGAGGTTAAACCCTTGTGGATACTGAATGTTCTGTTATTATTCCACGTCTATTTGGGTTCCGAGATCGCTGTGTCATGCATCAATATATCCCATTATCTGTGATACCTGTCAGAATATTTATATCAACAGACATTTTGTGCTAAAAAGAAATTAAAAGTGTATATTGCCAAATTCACTCAGAACAAAGCGGACTCCATTTTGCTATCTTCAGGATAACAAAAACACATAATTTCCTTGATTTCTCCTTATTTTCTGTAACTAGCCACTTGTTTGAGCTGAGGAATGCGTTACATAAACAAACCAAGATAAGCAAGGGGAGTGGAATGCTCTGTCTAAATGTTAATGGAATAGATGCAATTATCTAAACACAGACACTAGTGACAGAGAAGACTAAGTAATTAATTTTACTTTCTAAATTTTACAAGGTTCCATTGTAAATAAGGGGTGAAATTGAGTTTAGAACTGTCAATTTTACAAGTTACGATCAAAGTAGTTGCCACAGAGACTGGGACAAACGCTTTGAACTGACAGAAAATCTAAGTTATGGTAGTCATTTTAGATAAGCCAAATGAAGTCAAAATCGTCATCAGGAAAAGTTAACTCTTTCCTGGATAGGAAGGTTTCGTTAGACGAGACTGCCATCTATGGATCAAATATTGAAAATAAAAAATTTAGAAAGTAAAATAAAAAACCTGATGCTTCTCCTAATATTCCATGGTTAGCACATACGCCAGTTATTTGGCGACTGCTCGTTTATAGAACATTCACATTAAAACATAGAACACAGACTCAGCTACTAGCATGGCACATATTTTTATATGAGTTACTGGCAGCCCATGTAGTCATGCTCCCTATGCCGGGAAAGCCCCCTACTCAATGCTTTAGGTTTAGACAAATTTCCTTGTTGAATAATGATGCTAACATTTTTGCAAAATTATACGCTCCTAGATTAAGCACTATTCTCCCTCATATCATCCACAGGGATCAAGTGAGGTTTGATCAGGTAGGGAGCAGAGAACATATGAAAAGTGTTAGATTTACTCTACAGTCTTCCCAGTTTGAGGGAAAGTGGTGTAGGTGTACTGGTCTCTCTGCTGAGAAGACATTTGACTGCCTGAGATATGCCTTGAGGCGGTAATGCACAGGTTTATCTTTCCAGACCAGGTATCTGAGCTCTATATAAAAACCCCAAAGCACAGATTTTTAATCCAGGGTTTGTTTCAGACCTATTTACAATAACAAATTGAACCCGGCAAGGTTGCCCCTTTGTCCCTGCTCTTGTATGTCTTAGCATTGGAGCCACTAGCGGCAGCTATTAGAGAAGATACATCGGTCCATGGAGTGAAGCTAGGTGTGTCCGGGAATACAAGTTACATTTGTTTGTGGAGAAGTCCTTCTTACAATTACCCAACCACATAATCTACATTCCAAATTTACAAAAGCAAATACAGGAATATAGAAAATGGTCTTATTAGAAACATAATGTCACAAAGACACAAGTATTGCCAGTAAACCTGGATGGCATGGCAGTGTCAAGCCTCAAAGACGCAATTCAGTTTGATTGGAGGTCAGACTACCTCATTTTCCTGGGTATAAGAGTCACATAAAATATTCTAAGCTAACTATAAGAAACTAATTAAAGAATTCACAAATACATTACAGAAATAGGAGGACAAAGTTTTGTCATGGATGGGTAGAATTGCAGCCATCATAATGGTCCACTTGCTCAAGCTTTAATACCTGATATAAACAGTACAAATACCCTTACCTAAAGCATTCCTGCATAATTTACACCACACACTTACCAAGCTCATATGGCAGAATAAGAAGGCCAAAGCTCTTCCAAAAAATAGCAAAACAGGAGGGTTTGGATCTGTCTACCTAATTTGACAGTGAAAAAATGTGTTTGCAATTGTGACCAATTAAAAAAATGTTTTTCTGTGTGTCTTACAAAGAGGTCAATGGAGGCGGGGTATGTGGGGATATTTATGGGATGGGATTAAGCAGTCGAGAATTGCCCACTATTTCAATTCTCTTAGATCTTAGAGATCGTTTATCAAATAAGTGAAAAGTATTCCATACAATTAATGATCACAATGTGTTATAAAAATAGATTTATTTGTTGCAACAATTTAATTAACAATATTATTAGGCAGCATGCATGATAATAATCAGTGACTATTTAGTATAACATAAATATGCAATACAATGGAATGGCTATACACGTTTTCCAAAGGCTAACAGGACCATCTGTCACTTAAGATTTATGAGGGTATCCTTACAGACACAGAAAGTAAAGCTTTTCACAGTGAAGAACCATAAAACCTTGGCTAACAGTTAAAACAACTGAATAACCCTTTCAATGCTGGCTAGATCCTCCTAGGCATATAGTATCCTATTCTCCTGTGATTTTCAATTGAAATACATTTAAACCAACTCATTAATCATTTCCTGGAACCATCCAATAAGAATAATCTACCAGATTTTTATAAACCGAATTTTAATTTGCCTAAAAAGATATCTTATCTTATATTCGAGCAAATCAATACACCTGGATAAAAACAGCGGTATGCTAACACGTGATAATATCACATTAATATATAATTATTCTTAATTCCACCTGCAGAATGGAATGTTTATAACTATATATTCTTTAGTTAACTAAGATTTCTTAAACATTGTTTATAATCATAAGCACTTACCTATTTGTCTTTCAGGGTTGTGATGACTGACACTTCAGTACATGGTTAAAATGAGATAGATGGATTAGACACCCATCTATCCGTAAATATGAATTGTGTACATGGCAAAAATGAGTCTGCTCCTTATTTAATGGATGAAATACCTTGTGTCATACCTTGTTTTTAATGTTTTTTGCAATTTGAGGCTTGTGGGGCAACTGTGGAATCTATGTTTGGATTCATTACATAATTAAAATCACCACATATTACCAAGATTCCCCGCTATCAAGAGTTTATCCTAATGAGAGGTTTGTGGAGAATGTTTTGCTGGTTGACATGCGTCCCTTACAGATTCCCTATTTTGTGTGTCTCATTGTTTGTGGCGCAGAGTAGCAGAATGCATCTACCCTCTGGATCTTCTATATGTCTACTAATAAGCACCGATACTCCCTTGGCTTTAGCATTGTAAGTTGCATGGAATTGTAAGAGGTATTCAGATATTTGGAGCAATTGATTTGATCCCTGTATGAAGTGTGTCTCTTGTAGACAAACTTTATTGAGTTTGACACATTTGAGTTCCCGATTTAGGGAAAATCTTTTAATTGTGGCGTACATTGTGTATAAATATTTTAATAACACAATCATAAGTTAGATGTTGCTATGACTAGTGGCCCTATATGTCCGGTTTCCTAGCCTGTAATTTTTTCTATTTTTTTTATCTCACATATTTTTGTCCTGGCAGAATCTCATCTCTTCTGGTCCCATCTTGTTAAAGACCCTGGGTGACATTTTTCATTCTCTGTACTGCACTGTTAGTTTCTCAACATGACCTTTAGAACCATGCCTGTTTAATATTTCTTTAGCTTCCTCTATTAAGGAGTAATTAAAAAAAACAAAAAACAACAGGCCACCCACATAGCCTAACAGAAAAAATATAACCAAAATAAAAATACGAAGCCCATTATTGGGGAATAGAAGATGAATAATGAGGTGACACCTAGCTTGATGCACAATTTAATCTACAGAATGGTTAAGCACAATCCTTGACCCTTCTTACATTATGTTTAATCTTCAGAGCCATAAAACTAACCATGTATTAAAGCAGTAGAGTGTGCTAACAATCTCTATCTACCACATCAAGGGCAGATGTCCTTGAAACAAATGTAAGAACTATACGTAATTGTTTTTTAATTAAATCTTTTTTCTATAACTCTACTTTAATTAGCAATGTATTATGTCTTGTTCAAAACCTATAAGCCTTAGTTCTCCTCATCAGGCTTATCAAATATCAAAGACTGAGTATGTAAAACATTTCATTTGTAAATACTTTTGTAGTAGGAATTATGTAGTAAATCAATCCTTACTATCACTGCAACATAACTATAGGGACCTTAAGCCTTACTTGAGTAACACAAACAGTTGCTAATACTTACGGGACTAGTGATGTTGCGAACATGAAATTTTCGGTTCGCGAATGGCGAACACGAACTTCCGCAAATGTTCGCGAACCGGCGAACCGGGCGAACCGCCATAGACTTCAATGGGCAGGCAAATTCTAAAACACACAGGGACTCTTTCTGGCCACAATAGTGATGGAAAAGTTGTTTCAAGGGGACTAACACCTGGACTGTGGCATGCCGGAGGGGGATCCATGGCAAAACTCCCATGGAAAAATTACACAGTTGATACAGAGTCTGGTTTTAATCCATAAAGGGCAGAAATCACCTAACATTCCTAAATCACAATGGATATGGATTGATACCTGACATATGACATATTGACACAGAGCAGAATAGGGACTGTTCCCCCTACATAGGGTCACTTGGCAGATATGGATTGACACCTGTCCTCAGAGCCCCTGATACACACTGACACAGAGCAGAATAGACTGTTCCCTCTACATAGGGTCACTTGGCAGATATGGATTGACACCTGTCCTAAGGATCCCTGATACACAATGACACAGAGCAGAATAGGGACTGTTTCCACGAGGGTCACTTGACAGATATGGATTGACACCTGTCCTCAGAGACCATGATACACACTGACACAAAGCAGAATAGAGACTGTTCCCTACATAGGGTCACTGGCAGATATGGATTGACACCTGTCCTCAGAACCCCTGATACACACTGACACAGAGCAGAATAGAGACTGTTCCTCCTACATAGGGTCACTTGGCAGATATGGATTGACACCTGTCCTCAGAGCCCCTGGTACACCCTGACACAGAGCAGAATAGAGACTGTTCCTCCTACATAGGGTCACTTGGCAGATATGGATTGACACCTGTCCTCAGAGACCATGATACACACTGACACAGAGCAGACTAGAGACTGTTCTCCCACATAGGGTCACTTGGCAGATATGGATTGAAACTGTCCACAAGGACAAGCTGCAGGCTTCCTGGCAGGGCCCATACAAGGTGGTAGAGCAGGTTTGTGATACCACCTTTGTGATCGGTGCGGTCACAGGCACGGGAGGCAAGCGCATGCTCCATGTGAACATGCTCAAGCCATACCACGAGCGCACGGAAGAGGTAACCGCGATCTGTGCACCTGCCACTGAAGATTATGATAATTTGCCACTCCCAGATCTCCTAGACCTAGAGGGCCAGAGCGGAGACCTGGGAGAAGTACAGTTAGGAGAACGGTTAGACCCCCAGGAGCGAACCCAGGTCCAAAGACTAATCCAGGACAAGGGGGCCACGTTTTCCAACCTACCTGGGTACAGTCCGTTAACCACTCACAAAGTTGAAACCCTAGACCAGACCCCCCTTCGCCAAACCGCCTATCGCATACCCGAAGCAGTTAAAGAAAATATTCAGAAAGAAATTGAGGAAATGATGCAGTTAGGGGTGATAGAACACTCTGACAGCCCCTGGGCCTCCCCGGTAGTACTAGTACCGAAACGGGACGGCACGACCCGTTTCTGTGTAGACTACCGGAGGCTAAACGATAAAACAACCTCAGACGCCTACGTCTATGCCCCGGATAGATGAGCTCCTAGACAAAATGGCCAGAGGCCAGTACCTCACCACAATAGATCTGTGCAAGGGGTACTGGCAAATTCCATTAGCCGAGGACGCCATCCACAAGTTGGCATTTGTCACCTCGTTTGGCCTGTATCAGTTTAAGGCCATGCCATTCGGGATGAAGAATGCCCTGGCTAACTTTCAGAGGATGGTAGATCGGCTACTGGATGGGTTTCAGGAGTATGCCTGTGCCTACTTGGATGATATAGCCATTTTTAGCTGCTCCTGGCCCTAACACCTGACCCACATAGGAGCCGTACTAGACCGGATTAGGGAGGCCGGACTGACCCTAAAGCCCAGTAAGTGCCATATAGGAACGCGTAAAAACCTCCCCAAGATAGTAGTATGGGCCCCAGAGTGTGAACAGGCCTTCCAACAGCTCAAGACGGCGCTCATTAAATCACCTGTACTTTCTGCTCCTGATCCAACTAAACGCTTTCTCGTCCATACAGACGCTTCTATGTTTGGATTGGGTGCAGTACTGAGCCAAGTCGGAGCAGATGGTGGCGAGCAACCCGGGACT